TCTGACAGGAATGTAAATTATTTTCCTAAATAAACTTTATGATTTTCACATCCAATTGCATTTGAAAATAATCAAGAATTTTCTATTAATAATTATTTAGACCATCTAACGGTTGCAAATAACTCACACCACGTGGAGGGATCTGGTTCCTTGATGAAAATTTCAGATTTGCCGCGCTGAGGTCATTCTATGTCCAGGTTCGAAATTTGTCCTTTGTCCCAAAACCCGAGACTCGTAAAACCCGAACCTATACCTATTTCCAAACCAGAATGCTATCTGTCAAGTCGATAAACCGAAGGCTCGGACACACCGAACCTCTAGTTCAAATTCCGAACCTCCACATCACCTTCATCTCTCTGTCTCTGTTTAGACAATAGACATTTCAGTAAATCTCAGCTTCCCTTATTCACTGCTCTATTAAACTCTTCCACCCACCCACCCCCTCAAAATCACCCCACTCATCCTCTCATTTCTTCCTCCGCCGTCCGTTCCTTCAACTCAGATCAATCGTCGCCGGTAAATCCCCCATCATACACATATATAATTTTTTAATTTTGGGTGTAATTAGCATTATAGTTTTTTGCTTTTTCTAAATCTCTGCAATTAGATTTAGTCATTTCTCGTGATTTTCTACTCTTTCGGTGATCAGTTGTTCATGCATGATGCATGTTTGTCTCTGTGTGTGTTTATGGGCAAAACTGATTAGTGCTATATTTTTAGCTGTGTGGGAAGCGTGTTTCTTAATTGTTGCTTAGAAGTGTAAGAGTCGTGTAGAATAAACCTCCATTTTACTGTCAACTTGCTCCTCCTCTTTCTCTCTCTTTCTTTCGTTTTCAAAACACTGATCTGTCTTTTTTCTCTCTCTCCATATTGAAATGGATTAATGAAATAGTAAGAACCATATAAAAAATTTGAATTTTGAAGTATTATAACGCATTATCTTACAATTATAATAATTATGCTTCCATTATTGCTCTTGGATTATCAATAAATTGAAAATTCTGAAATTTGGGTCAGCGACTTAAATGCTACCCTACGTATTCACATGCAAAGTGTGCTTGGTTGTTAGCTTTAATTACGGAGGTCATACGAAGAAGCAATTAAGTTTTTATTTCTTTCCATACGCTTCACAGGTGAATCATCGGATATCGTAGCAGTAACAAAGTTCATCCTGGATTTGTTGTTCTCGGGAGTTTTACGGTGATGTCGGGGGAAGAACGGCCGTCGAGTTTAGTGGTGGATCCGTTGTTGAAGGATCTGAGTGAGAAGAAACAGAATTTCCGGCGAAACGTGGTGTCGCTTGCGGCGGAGCTTAAGGAGGTTCGCAGCCGTCTTGCTTATCAAGAGCAGTCTTTTGTTCGTGAAACCCTAACCAGACAGGTCAAATTGAGTTTTGATTTATGATTGTTTTGTTTGATATTTATTTATTTTTTTAAAAAAACTTTTTGTCTTTTCCTATGTAAAGCAGGTGAAAGTGTGGGTCAGGTATTCTTGGACTTGGTCTGATTATTGTGTGCTTATTGTTTTTTATTTACAGGAAGCAGAGAGTAAAGCTAAGAAAATGGAAGAAGAGATAAACAAATTGCAAGAGACTTTGGAGGAAAAGAATGGAGAGCTTCAATTTTCAGCTTTAAACACTGAGAAGGTAATTGTCATGGGTGTCATTTCTTGAAAAATTATGTATTTTTGGTTTGATTTGAGAGTAGTTTAGTGGGTTTATATGAGAGATAAGTTGGGCTCAAAGATCTTGTGTGTGGGGCATTTGGGTTAATTTGCAATTACTAAAAGAAAAGGTACTTGAAAGGCATATTATGATGGATATCTTTTGAGGCTACTTTCTGGCATTTCTTGTTTGTCCTTTTTGGGAAATAGTATTGAGGATTGAAGAATTAATAGATGATAATTGTCTCTAGTAGTTCAACCTGAGTATAGTGGTCCAACAAACTTTGTTTTTGTTTTAAATTAGGTCGAAAACTTTGTTTCTTTTAGCTGAGTTAGTGAGATAAAGAGGAATCTACGATGATTTACCATTTAATAAATCAAACTACTTTTTGGATTCACTTGTTAGTGGCTTTTAGATGGATAGCACTGGGTTGTAAACATCACTTTCTGCCTCTTTGTTGTGCATATATTATTAAATAATATAGACATGATGCCATATGATTTGAGGTTTTTTTATAGTAGTGCTAGAACTGTCTTTTGTGTGAGTCAAGTTCTCTTGGTATTATGTATCTTGAGGTGCCTTAGATATTGAGGCATACATCATTGCTCCAACTCTGAATATTCTGGCATTGAGAGTCTTGTCCTCAGATTGTTGGAGAAACGATTAGTTGGATATAACATGGTGTCTGGCTGATTCCAATAAAGTGTGCTCAAATGAGCATCTTTAGGCAGCAATTCAAGGTGACTTATTTTAAATTAGTCAATTATGTGTGATAAAGTTAAATATATAAATATGATTGGGATAATCTGAATATTTGTGGTTGTATCATATTGTTGACACCATATTGGTGTTTTAGGAATGAGAGATTTGAGTTGATAGAAGAGATGTCTAATAACGGTAAATGTATGATGATACATACATCCACTTTAAGTAGATTCAAGTTTACTAAAAGGAAATTAGCGTGACTAACACATAATGGCAGTACTTAAACTCCTATAGTTTTACTCAAAAAAGTGAAACTCCAAATCTGAATAATAATACAGTATCCCGTATTGATCCAATTCCTATTAAACCCTTCACTTATTTTTGCTTTTTTAAGATTGAATTGAAGAGTTTTATTTCGTAAAGAATATCTTCTCATCTGGTTAATTTAAGATGCTAATTGTTCACTTGGTGTGTGATTTTTTCATATATTTTTATTAATCATGCATCATCATTACAATAAGAATGGTTTCCTAGGATATTGGTATGCATTTTTAATAACATCAGGTCTTAATATGATTCAGTATGTTAAGCAGTTGGATGACCTTAAATCACAACTCTCTGCGACTCAAGCAACTGCAGATGCAAGTGCTGCATCAGCTGAATCTGCACAGCTTCAGTGTTTGGTGCTTTTGAAAGAGCTGGATGAGAAAAACAGCTCACTGAAGGAACATGAAGTTCGTGTAAATAAACTTGGTGAGCAATTAGATCTTTTGCAGAAGGATCTTCAAGCAAGAGAATCATCCCAAAGGCAATTGAAAGATGAAGTAGTGAGAATCGAGCATGATATCATGCAAGCATTAGCAAAATCTGGTGCAAACACAGATTGTGAATTGAGGAAGGTCTTAGATGAGGTCTCGCCAAAGAACATTGAGAAGATGAACAAGCTGTTGACTGACAAAGATGAAGAACTTGCCAAACTCCGGTACGAAATCAGGATCATGTCTGCCCACTGGAAGCTAAAAACCAAAGAGTTGGAATCTCAGGTTTGGTAACGTACTTTCCCATTGCTCTCTAAACTCCATGATACTTAATGAGTGATTTTTCCTCACGATTATCAACCTCTTTTCTGGACAGTTAGAAAAGCATCGTAGGGCTGATCAAGAGTTGAAAAAGAGGATTATGAAGTTGGAATTCTGTCTACAAGAGACTCGAAGTCAAACTCGCAAGCTCCAAAGGGTAATTCTACTCTTTACTACTACATTGATGAAATTATACCTAATACAGTAAACCTAATGCCATTCATGCAAACATAAATTGCAGATGGGAGAACGACGTGACAAAGCTATTAAGGAACTGAGAGACCAATTATCAGTTAAGCAAGTTGGAACTTCCAGCAACAATAATCAGAACTTCTGGGATACCTCAGGATTCAAGGTTGTCGTTTCAATGTCGATGCTGATGTTAGTCCTCTTTTCAAAGCGGTAATAGTTACAATTAGTATTAGTTGACAATGTAAAAAGGAGAAGTGTAGCTACTAACAACTTAGAAGCTGTAGAGCTGCTGCTTAATATATTAGAATGTTAATCATACTCTATGGGGCCCTATCTTTTTGTACCTTAAGGGCATCACAACTGAATCCATCATCTCGATGTTCTATTATTAGATATTATATATACATGCGGTAATCATAACGTTACATAATCATGTTTTTAAAATGTATCGTTGAAACTCCAATCTGAAGGGGGCCCAGTTGCATTATTTTCTTGTCTTAGTGAGAAAGCCTAGTTTTCTGATGTTAATTATTAAATTAGTCTCAATAATTCAAATCAGCATCCGATGTTATAGATGTATTGACGATTTGGGAAACGCTAATTTCATAGGTTTTTAAAAGATGGTTTTCTACTACCTAGTATAACTAGACTGAACACGTATATATTAATTAGTTTAATTTTTTGTCCGCTGATCTAAGCCACCTAGATCATCATAGCTGTATAAGATTCTTAATTTTTTCAGCTTTTAATTACTACTTTATTGTTAATTGAGGTTTGTGATCGGTAAGGTAATATTGATAAAATGACCTTTGATAATGTCTTTAAATTTATTAATCATGTAGGGCGTTGAAGAAACACGTAATTTGCGCTAGTGCATGGCGCTCATTGATTAATCAAACTTAAAGTGACCATCAATACACCACACTGAAAAATATATATATAAAAATACGGCATCATTAGCCTCTTCCATGTTCTTTTCTTTTGATGTTGATGGCTGTAAAATGCTTTTGACTTTGTTTTACATGGCTGTACCCAACTTAATTCCTATGAAGGAACAAAAGGCATGCACATAACATAATGATTTAATGCATTTAGGGGTCTTTTGATTTAAGAAAAGTATTGCTCAGATTAATCATATATTATTTTTTATTCTTAAAAGAAATTGTTTGATTACAAAAACACATCCACCTTATTTAGAAAAAAATAAATTGAACAGTCGTAGTTTCGTCATTTTTCAATGTTTCTTCACGTAGTAATTACTAATCTTGATATAACTTCTCAAAATTAGTAAACAGACAATGAATAAGACAATAATATCTGTCTCAAGGGATATTTATCCAACATATCAAACCTTAATTTAATTGGAAACATAGACCTAAGTCTATTTATAGTAAGTAATAATCAGCTACAACTGATGATATGAGATCTAATATATCCTTCATAAGCAGGGAAACATGTAATATAGCAGAGTAACATCAGGCCTATTGAACATACTGAATAATTAAGAATTACTATTTCAAAGTGATAAATATAGATAATGGCCTCTAAAATTAATATATGAATTTTACATCTAGGTAGTGGATATGCAGGATATATCAACTATACTAAAGCAGTGTATAGGTGTGTAATGTCTAAACCTCTGAGAATACTCCTAACTGCTTCCATTTTTTCCTCCACGAGAACTGTACATTGTTTTGAATTCGAAAATCCAGTTTCTCACTTGATAATTGAGCTTCTCTTTTCCTCAAAACTCCAACACCAGCTTACTAGTTGCGATGGAGGCGACTAGAACGATGCAGCCAACTAGGGGTTGCAATTCATTTGACATGGACAGTGAAGTAGTAGTAGTTGGAGGAATACTATCACCTATGCCCGAGGGCATCATTCCAAAACCTGAGTCGTTACCATTTGTCACTGTTGGAGGTGCTAAGCTGCGAAAATTACAGTGTACAAAGTTAGTGAAAAGCATATCGATTACTTCATCCATTTTATATGACAATTCAGAAAGAAAAACGTTTCTATGTGCAGCTATTTTTTCATTTCTTTAACTCCTTGCCTAGAAAAACATAACCACAGGAAATGCAATAAAGAGGGAATCATATTGATGGAGCGAATGAAAATTCCCCTTACCCTGGTATTGCTGCACCAGTTGATGAGGATGTTGTTGGCGCTGGAGTTCCAGACATTGGCGTGGTAGTTGTTGTAGGCGATGACAAAGAAGACCCCGATGCAGGGAAAACACAAGAACCAGTGCCTGTATGTCAGCATGAAAAGGATCAGAAAACAATAAGACGCTGGTTTATAACGGCAAGGTAGGTAAATAAAGAGTCCTTCTTTGCTTACTTGGGTTTGAGTTGGTTATCATGGCAGCACCCCCAAAATCACAGCTCGTTTGTGCAGGATTTTTTTGAAAGTAGCTATTGAAGGCATATGATGCATGACCTTCCAGGCTATTGGGATTATAACAACTTCCACCCTGCTGGATGGCTGAGCAATCTGCTCCCATCCCACAAGCATAATCAAGCGCCGACTGAAGTGAAGTGTCTCCAGCTCCATTCTTTGCAATACACCAGCTCTGCCCTCCAGTAGCAGGAGCGTTTGTGGTTGCAGGAGGCGTTACTGGGGTGGTGGCAGGAACACCCCCTACAGGATTTGGGTTAGTTGTTACAGGATTACTTACGGGTGTACTTGTGCTGGGGGTGGTAACTGGATTAGTTAGTGGTACCGGAGGATTGGGGTTTGGGTCAGTCACAGGGGTCACAGAAGGAGCTGCTGGAGGTATAGACCCAAAATTTGGAATTCCAAGATTAGGATTTGTGGACGGGACAGTAACAACTGTTGGAGCTGAGTTATCTGGAGGCATATTAGACGGAGTTGTGACAGGATTTACTATAGGGGTTGTAGGAAATCCAGTTGTTGCTGGTGGATCCATCAAATCATGTTTAATAGCTCTAATGGGTAACAACTCGAGCAGTCCTTTCCCGAAAAAATGAATTTTTTGTTCCTTTTGCCTTTCAAGCTCTCTGTGCTCAATCCTTTTAGCTGGGGATAATCCTGCAAAGAACATTATTACATATTTAACTTGCTGCAACTTGTTTTGCCATATTTTAACTTAAACGTTTCTCAACTCTTATAACATCAAATCTCAACCAATGCAGCCCCCTTTTTCAAGTGAACATGATAAATCTAGCATGCTCAGTTAACCGTAAACGTCTTTTCTGATGATAAATCCCAGTTCTTCATCTTTTTTGCAGAACATTTCTAGAATAAGATGACAGTCCCATCACTAGCATAAGTTTTGCTCTACCACCCTAGTGAATGATGTAAACTAAGCTCAAATAAACCATTTGCTCCATTTTATCAAAGTCACTCAGGTCACGTTCCCACACAAATATTAAAACTAGGGCTTAAAGATTCTATTGAAAAACAGGGAAAAAGTTTTTCTGGGGGAAAAGATCTAGTCTAAGAATGATAGAGCTAAAATGGGGAAAATGCATTTCAAAATCTTGAACATAAACAGAAAACACTAGTCAAATGAATCAGCAAAAATCAAGAAACTTGAGCTTAACCAACATTCAGACCCCATTCTTGTAAAACATAGGAACACTAAACAGAAACACACTACAAATTCCAAATCTTAAATCTGGACAAAGAACACAGTAGTCACACATAATAAAAAATCAGCAAAAACAAGAATCTTGCTTTTAACCAACATTGAAACCCCATTCTTGTAAAATAAAGAAATACTCAAAAAAAAGTAGACTTACCAGAAATGCTGGCAAGAAGAATAAACAAGAAGAACAAGAAGATGAATTTTGAAGCTCCTCTAGTCATTATAGTGTTGGGCATTTTTCTTCAATGCGTTGTTACTTGAGAAAGAGACCCCAAATGGAACTATAATAGGATTTAAGTATATAATGTTCTTCTTTAAACATAGAATGAAAAAAGTTGTACCATTTAAATAGCAAAAGGGAGAAAGGGGCAGGAAAAAAAAAAGGTATGAGTAGGAGATAAACAATGGTGGGGTAGGACATAAAAGTTAAAAAAGAAACGAATATATATTAACTTTCTAGTGTATATCATAATAACATAAGAAGAAGAAAAAAAAGGTGATTACTTTGTGCTGAAGAAAATATTGAAAATTATTTTTTTGCTTCTCTACTATGGTAAAGCATAAATTATTATTGAAATTTCTGAAAGTTTGAGTTCATACTAAAACAAAAAAAAGTTGAACACTTGGCAAATTGCAGACAAATGCTACATGCATGTCGAAAGCAAAGGTTGGAAACCTTATCTTTGAATGGAGCAAAGGATCATTATGCTGCCTCATTTTGTTTTTTTAATAATAAAATAGTGAATAAACTGACTGTATGAAAATATTATGAAAAAACAGAGGAGAGGATGGGGTAGAGGGTCCTTAACAGTGGTCGGTGGAGCCATGTTTTAGAGTATTCAGAAAAAGATGGGAGTTAGACCAGGAGATACATAATATTCTTATTTGATGTAACTCACACTCTTTCTCCCCAGATTCACTGCATCGTTATTTATTTTGTATACTATTATTGAGGTTCGTATTTTTATAGTTTAAATCAATGACATTTTGATTATATGATAATAATTTTATATAGATAAGGTCGAAATTATATACTTAATTTATATATAAAAGTTTAAAAACAGGAAAGTTAATTATTGCTAATTTTAGAATGCAACTGTAACTGTTGGGAAAGGTGACAAAGTGGTAGGAATATAGATAAAAAAAAAAAAGGAAATTGGACTGAAAATAGGTTGAAAGGGAACATATATTTGGATCTAGGAAGATTTTTAACATTGTTTAAAATTTAAAATAAAAGTGGGGAGGAGAAAATACTTTTTTTGGGTAATTAAAGTTTCTCTTTTAGAAAGTAAAAAAACAACTTAATTTGGACAATCATTTTGTATTAAGGGAGTGATAAAATCAAGAACCAAGGGGGTAGAGTGTAATCAATTTTCTCTTCTTAGAATTAAATCCAAACGTTACCACTGGAGTTTACTCTTGTAGATTCATTTTAACTGTTATTTTAATTCAGGATAAAAATAGTGAATAATGATGCTCTGTTTGATATATTTTCTTTTTTTACTTGAAATCGTAATAATTATACACATGTCAAATAATTTCATCTACACAGTTAAAAATGAAACTTCTTGATTCGTAGCTATTTCATTGATCACTAGGCCATATCGACAAATTTTAGTGTCGGATTAATGTCTATTTTACATTATTTTACAAATGCAGTATTAGGATATTATTTTATAATGTATTGAAGTTATGTTGGTGGTGAACAAAAACAACAAGCAAGTTAGGGCCCGTTTGGCCATAAATTTTCCAAATAATATTTAGGGAAAATTTGGCAAATAATGTTTGTCCATACAATTTGCCATTATTTGGCAAATATCCCAAATTTTCAAATACTAATTTTTTCTAGTATTTGGGTCAAATCTCATTATTTGGGATATTTTAAAAATTAAAATTTTACCCCAATCTTCTATCTTTTACAAAAACATCCTCTCTAGTAGTTGTTTGCGTTGTATTACATCATTTTTTACGTGAACACCAAAATAGTGACGAAATATGTAGTGAATATTAAATAATGATATGATTATTGATGAAAATTATTAAAAATTGGCTTTAGGTAAAAAAGTCATGTACTTTGTCTACTTCATGATGTATGGAATAATTCTTGTTGCACTCACTCCAAATTACCACATTGCTTTAGTGTCATGGACATTATTTGTTATTGTTGTAACGAACATTCATTGACTTGTAATATAAACTTTTAGTTAATTTTGATAGTTTTTAAAACTTGTGTGTATAAATCATATTTTTCTAAAAATGTGAAATATATTTTCCAAATTTTATGGCCAAACACATGGTGAAATTTCATCCAAATTTTCACTCAAATAATATTTAGAAATCTATGACCAAACGTTATCTTAGAATAAGCTGTAGTAGTCCAAGTCTACATAAAGGAGGCTATGTACGATAGTATCGTGGGATGCCCCTGTCCAGATTCAATTTAATCACCTCAAAATCCACATTTCTGCTTTGCAAAAGGAAAAGTTAAATTACATGCAAATAAAAAAGAAAAAAATAATTTTAAAATGGTCAAAGATAATATGAGATTTATGTTTTGGAGGAAGTGGATCTGCTGACACTTTCTGTTTGCCTTTTTATCTGTTACTCCTTTTCTTGACAAAGCAAACGACTATGTTTTTCAAATTCAATTTGTCCTCATATAAACATGCATACATTCTTCTAACATTTATACACATAAAACTGCATCAAACATTAACAGCATCATCATCTTATATATATATATATATATTTCTTTTTTGGATTAACCATATATATATATATATGGGGATCTTATATTCTAAGCCTATTGACTCAATTAATTTAGATTTGTGCGAGACATTACCACTAAAGGGATAAAACACTCATCAAAAAAAATTTATGCATATTTTCCAAGTTTGAAACTGAAATTTTTAATAAAAAATGAAGAAATGTGAAGTTAGGCGTTTGGGACCTACTTCAATAGAAAGTAGCAACCTCAAAAAATCTGATCAAAAGATAAGTAAGTTTCCATTACTAACAAAGGCGAAGATTGAAACATGCCTCACGGGCTCTTAGAGATGAGGCCTTTTGCCAAACCCAAAGTCAATTTTGGATATCGTCTTTTATCCTACTATTTCTATAGGGATAAAAGTGAAGTTCAAAATTAGCTTATAGCATGAGGCAGGCTTAAGAGCATCAAACAAATTATAAGGTCACAAGCTCATTCTCTCCTCTATCTATCAATTTAATTTTTTTATTATGTGTATGTATAATATTTTAAAAAATTATGTAAAATGATCGAGCTTTTTTCTTTAAATGTTATTGACTTATCGAAACATTGAATCCTGAAAAAAGTGAAAAAATTATAGAAAGAAATAAAGAAGACGATCAAAATAAAATATGATAATCAAGAATTAGTGCATTTGCTTTAGGATCATTGGACTATAATTTATAGTCCAGAAATACATGTGCTGGGTTGGGTCTCCTTTAACAAAAAAAAAAGAAGAAAGATAAAACTTTATGATCAACAAAGGTTCGGCTACTCTTTTTGCTCTAGTTGTTTGGATATGAATTTTTTATCATGTCAAATCAAAGGGATCCATTCCCATGTGAATCCATTAAATCTGAGTCATCCCACAGCTGAAAAGATTTGATCAGCCCATTTAAATTCAATAAACAAATTTGTCTATTCACTCTTTTTTTTACAAAAAGGAAAGATATAAAGCAACAACCACATACAACATTCTACTTGCTTTTTCTTTATTTTGCTTTCCAATTTGATATATCGGCACAAGTGTTATAGTCATCCTACATAAGTATGTTTAGTCAATTAAATAAAATTTCGAGATAAGTGATACAAGTGTGTATGTTATAGATAAGGGTTAAAAGTCAAGATAAGTGTCCCACTAATCCTGCAGTTATAAAATTGTTAGTGATAAAAAAAGTTCAAGTTTGAACTTTGTGACTGCTGATACAATTTGCCATAAAGAGAAGAATTACAATAGATTTCTTGTCAAGTTGTAGCATCAAGCATACAGGCATTAATAAAATATAAATAAGAAAAACAAAAGTTTTGGAGAAAAAAGATGATAGGCATTGTCTGCATGAGCTGTATGTCCACTTCTTCTGGGACACAGCATGAAGAGTTTATGGTTTAAAGGATAAAAACATTACTAAGTTGATCCTTTGGTACAGTTGATGTTTGGCTGGTCACTGCAGATGCTAAAGGGCAATGGTTTTTCTTCTTTGATAACAATAGTGTCCGAACGAACTTGCTCTTACTGACATATAGACAGATAACTATACCATCAAGGCTTAGACAGATGGGAAAAATCGTTTTCCATATTTGGCTAGCACACAGGGATGCTTATCATATCCCAACTAATAGGGATGGACTAAGGGGTTTTAACATTACATTTATAATCCAAAATATAATACAGAAGAAAAATTAAATAAAATGAAGACAAGAAAGTAAAGGAAAGGAAAGATATTCCTGTTTCTAGTGCTTGTCATGGGAAACCAAGTTGGTTTCTTGATACAAAAACATCCTATAGTAAAGTACACTTTCAGATTCCTGGAAGAAGAGCATAGTCGCAAAGCAAATACCTTTGTTTCTTGAGGGATTCTTGCCAATCAATGCTAGAGGTTAATGATTAAGTCAGAAAAGAAAACATCCGATGTTGCTTCTCTTGCAGAACCATAGCTATGTAGACGCTTCTTCAGAGAACGTAGCTCCCTCTCATCTTTGGAGCTCCTTTCCTTCAATAGTTTAAAAGATTTAGGCCATTTAAATTTGAATCAAAAAAGAATATTTTATGAGCTTGATTTGAATCCCCAATTATCAAGTATCAGACTATCAGACAAATGATAGTAATAGAAGGAGATTGACCGATTTGTTTGATTTTGTTTTTCATTTTTCTGTTTTGAAGAGGATAGAACTACATGGTCAAAATCAACTAATAGAATGGCAAACTGCATGCAGCTGAAATTGCAGCAATTACACGGACATATTGCAGCATATATTAGGAACAGAAAGCCAATTGGATAAAATGAGGACATACCCCATCCATAATACTATACAGTTTCAATGAGGTGGTAACGAATAATATGGAATCAACATCGTTAATACTCACGTATGATTTCTTTAGCAGCAGTATGTCAACCAAGTATTGTAGCCATAGCACATTTGTCTTGGGGAAACTGTCGACCACAAATAAATAAATAAATTTAAGGCAAAAAGGTCAATATCCGTAGACAAATAATCCAGTCGCTAAAGACTTCGGGATTTTGCATGACAAAGAATACTTCTTAGCTGCTAGAGAGCTTAGGTCTCAAATTCAGCCACACCATAATAAAAAGCTACTACACTTATCAACAAGTGTTATAACCAAACAGACCAGTGTTATGACAAAAAACAAGCATGATCCTTCTTTGGCAGTCAACTCTAAAGCATACAAATGCTATAGTACTAGATCTTTTTATGGGTTTGTGCTTCTGAATCTCGACCAAAAATTCCATGGATAGTAAGACATGAAACACCATTAAACAGGAAACCCTTTCATGGTGATGGTTTCCGACTTTCCTTTATTTAGAAAATTGACAACCTTTACTGTGTGCCAGTGGTCATAGAAAAAGCTAGCTGATTACATACAAAAAATTTACACAGTTGTAATTTTGATCCAATTCAAATTCTCTGACAGCAGGTTTCACAAAATAGGTTATTATTTTAGTGGTGAATTCCAAACATCCAACGTCCAAACACATTTTTGGACTGATCATAAACTTTAAAATGGAAGAAAATACACTATTGTGATAAATCAAAGGCAATTTGCTATCTCTGAAACAATTTGTTACTTGCAAGTGAAGGGGCTAGTATTTATACCTTCCTTCCCAAAATTCGCCTGTGACATCTCTCATTTTCCTGTATGTATCAGACTGCAAACATGCCAAAAAACTATGAAATACAAATATGCATCAAAACACCTAAGATACATGGGACTTCTTTGGCTTCATACCTGTTTATCTCCTTTTGGACCTTCAAAGAGTTCGGGGTCTGATGACAGGTCCAGAAAAAGTATGTCTTCACCTGTGATCAGTATGTATTTACAGAGATAAGAATCTCTAATCAATTCAAGCACAGGATTGTGAAGAGAGAAACAGAAAGAGTGAACACCTGTATTTATCCTTGAAAGAGTGAAGTCAATTATTGAAACCAATAATCCATATGTTCTGACATGTATTTCATTTCCCTCAAGAGTAAATTGCACTGTATCTAACCCTTTCCGACTTAGTAGAATATTTCCCCTGTGATAGGAAAATTGTTACGCACAGAAAAGCATTTTCGAACTCTAGATTGTAAAACATGTTGAAACAAATCATTGCATGGAAAACAAACCAGTGCAAATCACGATGCTCAAATTCGTATGCAGCCTCAGATACAGCCAAAGCAAGAGTTACCTGGAGTTCAGATTTTGCAGTCAAGATAATGAAAGAGATATTAGGCTGACAATGCCAAAAGAAAAATATGAAATCACTTGCCTGGGACAATAAACTCCTGGCTTCGTCAAAGTTTAACAGCACAAAACTTTCAAGATCTTTTCCTCCATGTTCTTGAACGAATACAACATAGCACTATAGAAGGTATGTAATGGTTTAGTCAGTAACACTTAAAAGTTCTCTAAGTAATTTCCTCTAGCTGCAACAAAAGTACCGGTCTATCTAGACACAAGATCCACTCAAACAACAGATGACAATGGGAGGCAACTATTGGCAATTAGGAGTAAAGAAGTAAATTTGCTTTGCTAGGAACCTGCTTTTCTGGAAATTCCTTAGGATGGTCATTTTCTGAACCATGCTTCCCATCCCAGTCTTCCCATGCTTTTAATAGGGATGCATCATAATGGCCTTGGCACACCCTCATGCTGCATAAAGGTAAAATCAATTGTACATAAGTGGTCAACTATTAGTAATCTCTTATTCTAAGAAATAGTATACAATGGAGAGTGCAAATAACAGCATGCAGGAGAAGCTTCAATTTCATCAGTCATTAGAGGTGACAGTTATATAAGGATGCCTATTTCAAGACTTATTACAGATAAGGTTTCTATAAAACTGTTTCTCATTAAGTAGCTGAGGTAGTAGTTCACATGAACAGATTCTGAGGTTATGCATAAGTTTAAACCAAACAGGAAGATTGATCAGATAAGACCTTTAGACGTTCCTAAACATAGCTTTTGTCTTGAAACAGAGGTTCAGAAGAAGACTAAATAGTTGCAAATTTGCTGGAAGACTAATAAGTGGAACTTACTCCATTGTCTGTATAAAGGTGGAACAGGAGTTCAGGAGATGACCCTCATGAGCTCTTAAGCTATTAAGGGTGCCAGAGAGTATGACTTCCTCAAGTAGCTCTTCTGATTTCTGAAATGTATCAGTGCACAGATTTCAAATCAGAGTAACTTAAATATTTTCAGAAGATCAGTTGTTGATCCTATGATCATCCACTGCACTAACTTTAGTTTGCTGATGCAAGTTACTTGGGTCATATTTCAATTTAATAAAATTGGAGCCTATTCAATTGCACAAGAAACATAATTGAACTGGATACCTTTTGTAATTCTCCATTTACTCGGAAATCTCCATCAAATGGGACAATTTTGCAGACATTTTCGCCAACCTTAAATGCCTCCCCAAATGTGCCTTCTCCAACCTTGGCAATTGTTTGCGTCTCACTGAGTACAATTTTGCAAAATTGGATGCTTAGAGAAGTTAAGATTAAGAGCAAGATCAGACTGAATTAAGTCTACTGCCAACAAAAATATGAAATTGAAATTTCCATGAAAGTGAATGGATACTGATTGATCAAGTATTAACTAAACAACCATTTAGATATATTTCAAAGCTAAGGATCATATGCACCAAAAAGAGAGCCCCAAGTACATGAGTTCATAATAATACTAAAGGTACAGCCAAGGGAATCGATGTTGATATTCATCTCTCTTAAGTACATGGTTCAAAAGCATGATTTGAAGAGCATTATTACCAAAGGAATTAAAAAAGGAGGTTTAGAATTAAGCAGCCTCAGGCAGATATGCATTCTTAAGAGTACCAAGGTAACAACATCATTCTTGCTACTATAAATTATTTGTGTATTCCTGGCTAAAGTTTTTCAAAAGGAAGAGTTAACAGTCTTGGTGATCATTGTATCAGCTAAAACAAAAATTCAGTTAACCCCACTGCTCCACAAGTACCAAAAAGACAGTAAAAATTCGACCAAGAAGAAAGATATGACTAAGATGATACTCGATTACACAAAGTAGTAAAGAAGTGGAAGGGTCATAGGAGCCGCACCAATACTTTGATAATATCTCCAATAATGTTAAAGGGGCAGACTGTCCACATGCTGCCAATAGAGCCAAAAATGGATCCCAAGTGTGACCATCCACTGAAGAAGGCCTGGAAGTCAGAGAAAGTTTACTAACAGCTACATCGATATCTTCACAACCTTCCTCATCCATGGGACATATTTCTCCAATGCCTTGTTCTGATAAAGGCTGCTCTCTGGACACATCTTCATTTGTAAAACCAATGTGTTTATTCTGGCTGGAGTACAAACCAGAAAGAATTCGCAATGATGTTTTCTCTGGGGTTTTTGCAGTTGAGGATCCATAAATAAATCTGATAGCAGATTCTTTGCGTGAGGCTGGGGTTTCTAATATCTTCGATAATGAAGCGGGAGGTGCATAGGAATCGTTAAGTCTCTTAGAAATCAACCATTTCTGTAGTACTGAGGACAGGCGTGATATAACAATGTCATCAGTTTGGATGCCCACAGTCCATGTACTGCATTTGTTTGGGGAGGGGCTTTCCACCATTAGTTCAAAATCATCAACTTCTTGAAAATATGCTCGCTCCTTATCATAGTTCGGAGCTTCAACATTTTTACCCTACAAAGTATGAAGAATTAGAAATACCAAACGTGTGACTGTTTATGATAATCAAATTATTAGCTAGCTGATGCCTTTGGGAAAAACAAACAAGTAAAACATGGATTTGTGGGAGTTCCTAAAGTTTTTAAACAACTTACTCTAGGAAGAGGTGGTTTTGCTTTTCGACCAGGCTTCCTTTGTGGAGGATGTATTTCGGCACATACAGCAGCAATACTGGTTCTCCCCCTGTCAACAAAATAAAGGGAAAAAATCTTGTTACATAAGACGAAAGTGGAAGTAATGGGAGTTACAACAACTTCTCTTTGCAAGAGACAAAAACATCTTGTTTTTACTTTGTATTGTTCTGGCAATATGTTTCTGCCAGTAAGCTTACATTTTCTAGAATCCCATTCTCGAACACCTTTTGAATTCTCAATTATGAAAGAGCTCGTTTCTAGTTGAATTAGCCTATCAGAAAAGCTTTATTACTACATAAAACGAACATCAAAGATATATTATACATTTTAAATCTGCCTGGATGCTATGCTGGAGACAAGGGCTCTGCTAAAATAATATATGAAACTTACACAGCCTTTAGCATCACACAGGAAAGGCATATTCCTCGAAATACTGATTGTTTGTCGTCATATTACACAAAAACATGATAAGATTTGAAAACTCAGAAGCTTAATGGACACCAGATTATTAACAATGATCAAAAAGTTAGAGAAAATTGCTCATAACAAATCAGCTGATAGCAAGTTATGCAGCAACTGGAAAGATAAGCAACTTCTTAGGAGGGGATAAGTTATATGCATGTAAAACACTATATAGAGCCACAATGCATAAGCATCCTTATTTGAGAACCTTGCTGACATAGCTACAAATTTTTGTTTTTCTCTTACCTTTTTAGTCTCCCTTTTGTTCTTTTTCAGGTGGGAAAGGAGCAGGTTGTGGGGTCTGCTATACTAAAAGAGTCCATGTTATTTCATCCCAAGAACAGACTCTTAAAATTAAAAAAAAGTTGATCGTTTAGATTAATGCTTGACAAATGATTTTACACATTCTTCTTCCCTTTTGTTGGTTTTCTTATTAGAATATAACCTTGATCTTAATACTTCTGGCATTAATTGGTGGATTAACTTTGTTTCAGCTCCCCCTTAATCAAGAAATTATAGATAATATAATTGTTTGAAAAGGTGAACTAATTAATCTATTAAAAATTGTACTAATAAGTTAGTCACAAGAAAACTTAAGAAAACTTATGCCTGAATGAACACAAGTACAACTATCTTGATAAGCCTAGCATGCAAGTCAACAGCATCCCTATCCACTACAGGCATAATCCTTTTAAGTATATCCAATAAGATTGATCTTGATACCAATTTTGTAAAAGAAGTATTGTCAATGAGAAATTTAGAGTAAAAAATACAAATTAGGGCAAAAGACAAAACCTGGTGGAAAGGGAACGATTCCAACTGATTCGTTTAACAGGTAGAAAACTCAACCGGTTTTCATTACCCGAATTCGAAGTCGATTGCCTCCTGAAAACAAATCAAAGTAAGACGTCAAGGAACCACCAAACCAACAAATAGAATCCTAGGTAATGATAAAAAAAAATAGAGAACCCTTCGGCAACTTTGGGGGTAACACTATGGGGCTTTTGCCGCCGATATACAACAGCAATATTTGGTTGAATTTGTTGAGAGGAACGATCAAAGTGTTGTTGTTCAGCAGCTATGAGTTCTGCCCACAAATCAACTGCGTTTCAAATTCAAGCGTATTAGTACCCTGAGAATCGAATCTTGATGAAAAATTAATTGTAGAATGAAGAAATTTTTGCCCTATACCTGATCGTGAAGTCATGATGATATGCCAATTTTGAAGCTTACAATTGTAACGTTGCAAATGTCTTTGTCACTGCAGTTCTAAATAAGCAGAAATTTCTGGGAAATATAGAAAGTGTGCAGAAATTTTGAAAGTTGGGCGATTGAGCGGGAAGAGAAACAAACCTTCGGGTTTGACAAAGAGACTAATGGGCTCGTCATATTTATAGACTGGAACATTAGGAAACATTTGCACAGACCCCTTTTCTTTCTTAGCCAACTAAGTATAAAGTATAGAAACCCAATAATTACATACTATCTTTTGAATTTTTTCCAAATTATAATAATCAATGATTTTTTAAAGGGATAATTGCAAACTAATAACCTGAAAATAAATAGAGTAGCTATGGTTTGATTTAATTGTGCTTCATAGCAAACGTTAGCCAAAGTTTGTCAGTCGCTTCTCTCCCAAAAATTTTGCTCGCCACTCTCCCTCTGTTCGCCTCTCTCGCTTTATACACAGAAGTGTATAAATTGTGTTTCTGTTTTGTATAAAGCGAGAGAAAATTGTGTATACACATGCAAAAACATATATCTTCGTGGTTATACACATAAATATACAATTTACAGACATTTTACTACAATTCAATTGTAGACAAATGCAAATTTTATACAAATACAGCAGCGAAAAAGGTCAATGAATTATACAATTGCGAATTATACAATTGCAGTGAAATACAATTTTCTCTCGCTTTATACAACAAAAGTGTATAAATTGAATTTCTGTTTTTGTATAAAGCGAGAGAAAAACATATATCCTTTTCCTATACACTTATAATTATGCAATATACATACATTTTACTTCGATTAATTGTATGCAAAACAATTTTTATACAAATATTGCAGAGAAATAGGCAGTGAATTGTACAATTGTGCATTATACAATTGCAGTGAAATAGGATAGCGAATCATACAATTGCAGCGAAAAAGGCCAGCGACTTATACAATTTAGGCCAACGAATTATATAATTGTATATGTATAGAGAATTATACAGTTTCTATGTTTGCTATGGAGCGCAATCATGCAAACTTTGTTATAGCATACAAATATAAATTTTTTATTTGCTATATTGGTGAAAGTTGCCCCTTTTTAAAACTAGTGTATCAAATTGCTTTTTTTTTTCTATCACGTAACATATGATACATAAGTTATGTATCATATATGTAAGTATAAATCAAATTCAGATTGATTTAAGTTTGAATTAATTAAGACTATGTATCAACAATAATATTTATACTACATACATTGTGCATAAACAAAACTGTAATTTATTTGATAGAGATTGAGTGATGTATTAAGGAAACAGGGAATTTTGTAATGAATTCAAATGGAAAAGATTTTTAGAGATCATGTTATTATAAGTTGTATAATTACATAATTATCTCTAATTTATTCCCTTTAAATTTGTGATTTTAATTTTTATCATTCGATATTTTCAGTGATAAATAAGTGGTCCAAATAAGTTGTAAAATTAAATTAACAAATAACATCTTCTCAGGTTATAAGTTTATATTTATTTTTCTTGTATCTGGTATGTTAATATTCACAAATTATGTCATAAAAAGCATAATAGATTATGACACTTCCACGTAACATATGTCCCACGGACCACACGTTTTGTTGTAAGGGAATTTATAGCCACATTTCCTTTTTTTTTTTATTTGATATTCGATATTTATATCAAAATCTAATTAAATTTGGATTCGTATCATTAAGTTTCATATTCAGGAAATAAAGTGTTCTCTAACAAATACGACTTTGTACCCAAGAGGGCTCAAACCTGATACATCTTGATTAAGAATGGATGAATACTTATTACTCCATCCCAACTCTAGTAGATCCCAATCCATTATTCCGTCCCTAAGGATTACTAGTGGTCATTTGGATGAACGATATGAAATTAAATAAATATAAAATTAAAATTTGTTTTAATATGCAAATTTATATTTTTCAATTGTATTTTTCTGTGTAAAAAATATATATTGCAAAAAAATTGCGAAAGCTATTAATTTTTTTTTTAAATCTAATGAAATCCTATGCAAATTATAGTTCATTAATAAGATATCAAAATATTCAAGAGTGTCAAGTTGATAAATCATGTATACTCATATACGTTTTAATATTAAATATTTGAAATGACAAACATTTAAACACACACAAATTTATAAAAATTTATTAGTCAACAATAGTATGATCTAGTTATTCTTTAATATAATTATTTCACACGACGTATAATCTCTTCATGGAAATCATATTAACTTTTTTTTGCAAAATTTAGAATATTAAATATTTTTTACAAAATATAAATTTAAGAGTCAAAATTTAATTGAAATTTTTTAAGATTTGAAATTTCAAATCACATATTCAAATATTAATTTAAAATCATGATTTTTATTTCCCATCCGCAAGAGTGATATACCATTTATATATGACAATACTTTTCAAGATGTGTGAGTGTGTCAACTGCTAAATCAAACATCCACTACTTATATATACGTTTTGCAAAAAATTGAATATATATATATGATTTGATGTGAAAATGTGACAAGAGAAAACAATTCACTTACCAAAGAAAGTGTTCGTACGGTTAAGATCAAACATGATCAATTATGCAAATCCAATAATTAGCAAGACAATCCATGAATATGTCCCAGTAATATCTCATTGTCTCCTTCAATCAACATCTAATCTAATGTAATTAATCACAATAAAAGTGATATTTCTTGTAACCATTAATGGATATTCCGTCTACAAGTCATATCCCTATGTAAAGGAGCACCACTTTGCTCAAAATAAACCTTCATCATATATATAGAGAGAAAGAGTTACTAAACGTAATTATACTTAAAAATAATATGAAATTAGCATTTGAACATGATTTAGTTTGGGATTATAATTTGAAATTATGATTTCATACTCATATTTCTCCAAAAAAACAATGCCTAGTGATTAGTGGATTTTTATAAGATTATGTCTGATCGAAAGTGTGAAATTACAAACATTTATTTATAACCAAAACATAGAGATATATGATTTTACAATGCAAAACCTTATTATGATATTCTAATATTTTATTTATGAACAATGATTTAATTAATAAGAATTTGAAGAAATTTTGATAATTTTCGTTACTCATGAAATTTCCATGTAAACATACTATAATATAAGATATCAAAACACAATTTCAACTTTATATTAATCTGATTTCATATTATATGTCTAAACCACCCTTAATTAAGAAATTCTGAAGTTCCAGAACCATGCCTATATATTTATATATTTATACTTGTATTAATAGGTGGACACAGCTTAGAAATAAATATTACAAAAAGAATGAATATATTTCCTTTCTCCAAAAACGTGTTTTAAAAATAGTAATAACTTTGATTCTGCGAGTATAAAGTGAGATTAGAACATTGCTTATTATATTAATGTATTTAGTTGTTGGAGGAAACCGCTTGTAACATGACACTTCCGTAATTAGGAATTTTAAAAAATTGTTATGCATAAATTAACAACAACCAAACTCCACACTTAATATAACTAGATTATAATATTCAATTTCTAATTTAAATAATTACGTGGGAATTATTAATTGATTAGAATGAAAGAAGAAAAATTGGTATTAACTTTTCAACATGAAAAAACTGTTTCTTTATTTCTGGAAGGTTGAGAACTGAGAATCAAAATGTGATTTTGCAGTTAAATGGACTTTTGCTAACACTAAATTATAAAGTTGACTTTAATTAATTACTGATTATTTATGTGGCAAAATGTCTTAATTGGTGGGATTTCTTTGTCGAATCCTAATAGCAACATTGATTTAATAACCTCTTTTGTCCCAAAGAATTTTTGACAATCTATTTGGTAATCATTATTTTTATTACTTTACCTAAAGTCCTAAACATATTTCCCCATTCACAACTTTTTTTTCTCAAAAATTTAGGTGAAAAGTCTTAAGAAGAGACAAAGGTAATAAATAAGGTATGGCATCTAGAAGGAAAACACTTGGAGGAAAAGCTTAAGATCCATCATGTAATTTTTCACGGGTATGTTTGTTAGAAAGGAAAATATATTTTTTTAAAGATAAGAATTTTTTTTCACTTATTTTATAGCGTTTGATAAGTAAGCAAGAGAATATTATCCTATTTATATTTAATTTAACAAAACACGAA